CAGGTTGCCATACCATATTAGCACGGAGACGCAAATGTTATTAATGGTAATAAAGAAGACTAGGGTTCGAAGATATTATTCAAGAAGTATAATTCAGTGAGATAAGGTTAGAAAGACAAAGGTAGAGATGTTGACTAATCCAGAAGTTTAGGATTTGAGAGAGCTCAACGAATGGATGCACTTGCGCCATTGCAAACGATTTTGAGTCATGTCGTTCAAGGTCTCCAACCATTGGTGACTTTCGTCTCGCGGACACCGACCAGGTAGTCTACATCTACCAACATGACTCAGTTCACTTGTCAGTGACTTCATGGATTTATGCCATGTTTTGGTCTGGCCGCCCCTAGCTTTCTTCCGACCTACTCCTACACCGCAGGTTCTATCAAATCGTAAATATATATTACAAAAACATACGATACCTAAATTATATTTGACTGTCCTCTAATTGAGTAGCCGTCAAATCTTTGAGTGTGTTACAGAAACGTTTGCATACAGTATGCTACAGTGTGTGGTCGTATACAGTTCATCTGCTGTACAACTCAAAAGATTATGGTATTCGGGACACATGTGAAAGATCATTCATGAATACTAAATACTTCATCATCATGATTTCTTCAACTAACAACAAGTAGTAGTTGTTTTTTTCGTCATATGCACTGCTTTAAGCTGGAGAACACGGTTGTCAAGTACAGAAAGTAGTAAATGGCAATTTACTCATCAATCGTAATTTATGCCAGCCATGCGCGTCAATTATTTACTGAATTATTGAATCTTTGCCTACGGTAAAAAAAAACACCTCCCTACCTAGTGTATTATAAAAATTTTTACAACTGAAATCAGTTGTTTATGATGGAATACTACTATCTTAGCATTGAGAAAAACAACCTCCGATAGAAAGACTTCTATCTCATTGTAAAAAAAAGTAATTAAAAAAACTAAATTAATCGATATCATACAATAGTATTGACAAACAAGTCACGTGACAAGTAAAAAATTATGATGCAAATAGTTATGTTTTATAATAGTCAGTCAGTCAGTTGCAACGTAGAACTTCGTACGTAAGTACATCAGTTCATGTTGCCATACCACATCAGCACAGAGATATAATTGTCAATTCAAATCCAATAGTAGAAGAGGTAGTAAAGGTATTAGAAGTAATCGGAGAGGTTAGAATTAGAAGATATTATTCACGAAGTATGATTAAATGAGAAAAGTTTAGAAAGTAAAAACTAGAGGTGAAGAACCCAGAAGATTAGGATTTGAGAGAACACAAAGAATAAATGCACCGGCGCCATTGCGAACGATTTTGAGCCATGTCATTCAAGGTCTCTAACCATCGATTATTGTCATCTCGCGGACCCCAACTACGTAGTCGACAATTACCGACATGGCTCAGTCCACTCGTCAATCACTTCATGGATTTCTGCCATGTTTCGGTTTAGCCGCCCCTAACTTTCTTCCAACCTATTCCTACACTACAAAACAAAGCTCGACGAGGCAGTCGGTGGTTGGGCATACGCAACACATGTCCCAACCACCTCAACTGATGAAGTGTCACTACTTCATCTATCGATCTGCCATTCTTACCTAGCACCCGATTCCTAATAACAGCGTTGCTCACTCGGTTGTCCCACGATATACGAGCAATGCTTCGAAGACACCTATGATCGAAAACCAATAACGACGTATATCTTCTACTCTCACTGACAATGTTTCACAGCCATAAAGTAAGACAGAGCGAACTACTGCACAGTACACACATCCTTTGGTCAGCAAACGGATATCTCGCCTACGCCATAAGTGACGCAGGTTGGCAAAAGCCAATCGAGCTTTCTGTATCCGTGCTGAGATTTCGTCAGTCACCAGGCCATCAGCACTGATGAGACTCCCAAGATAAGTGAAGCGGTCTACACGTTCGACTACTTCACTCCCTATCACTAGTTCAGGTGCCGATGAAACCCAATCTTGAAGCAACATTTTTTGCATTTCGAGGGGGAAAACCGCATCCCGAACATGCTTGCATTGTTGCTTAGGGTGGTCAGAAGACTCTGCATTTTGTCAGCGTCTTCACCAAGTAGGACAATATCATCGGCATATTCTAAGTCAATAAGCGAGCCACCAGGTAAAAGGTCTACTCCTGAAAATTCAGACGAGGATATGTTTTATAATAATAACAATAATAATAAAGAAGACATGAAGTCAAACCTTGTGAAGGTGTTGGAGGAAGTTGACTACCATTATTATTGTTATTAGCATTACTATTATTATTATTACTAGATGCGCCTCCTCCTCCTTGTGACATAAACAGTGTCATAGCCATAGCCATTGATTGTGGATCCATCATCATATTCAATTGAGATGTAGGCGGTACATTATAACCGAATGGATAATTAGTATTGTTGATCATATTGGATTCACAAAGTGGATTTCCTCCTTCGAAATTTCCCGGTGGTAATTGAGAAACGGTAGATGTAGTTGATATAACTGGAACTGACGATAAAGTTGGTGTAGTGCAATTACTTGACGACGTTGAATTAACAGCACATAAGCCAGGTGGCGGAAAAATACCTGGATATTTTGTATAAATATCATTCATAATATGAGCTTCATTTGGCTATAGTAAATGAATAAAATCAATAATTCAGTTATTTTATCGGGTGTAAATTGAAAAAAAAAAACACTTCTTAATTCTAGAATCAAAACTTAGATTCTCCTTTTGTTTAACCTAGTGAGTGCAAGGTGAGTCAGTCAGTCTTACACAACGTGGAACTTGACGCATATGTACATCGGTTTAAATTGCCACACCCGATTAGAATAGAGAAATGATATTTTCAGAGATCATACAGTAGTAGAGGTATTGAAAATACTACTGTTGACAGATAACAAACACTATACATCGAAGATACGATTCAAGAATGAAAAATGAATTGGTTGAGTAAAGGAGATGAATAACGAAATTTAAAACCCTTAGGATCTAAGGGAAGACAAAGGGCCACTGCATGTGACCCATTGAGAACGAATCTCAACCAAGGCACTATGGATCACAAATTACACTCGAACATCGACCACGCAGTGTCTACGTCAACCTACAGGGTTCACTTCAATGGGTTATTGTTTCGTTGACTAATGTAGATTCATAGTAACCAATAGCATTCCTACAGACTTACTACTCCATCACTAGCCATCATCGCCTGTTGAGGCAGTAGGTGGATGGACATACGTCACATATTCCTAACCATCTACGTCGATGCACGTTCACCATCTAACCAATTGATTTCCCATCCTTATCTAATTCTCTCCGTTTAATCTCAGAATAACTCACTCGGTGATCCCAATATATATCACCAATCCATCGAACACATCTATGGTTGAATACTAATAAGATATGAATATATTTTTTGCTTTCAAACGCCATGTTTCTTTCACACCCATAAAGAATGTCTATGGAAACGTTAAATGAGACTGATTAAACCGGATAACCCTGATGAGTAAATTTTGTATATAAAAATTAAGAATTCAAATGTTTGATAATGAGTAAATGATTTTTCTGTTGATATCAATCAACGACGAAAAAAAACAGTCCATCAAAACCCCTATGGAGCAACATAGTAACCATGCATAGCTCTCAAGTCATAAACCTGAAAACAGTCGTTTCATAGGTGTATTAATGACCGAAACTAAAACTACAAAAGTGATTTAGATAGTTGTTAGTTGATGTATGAAACAAACATTGAAAAGCTAATTCACATTAGTGCTAAGAAAATGAGTATTAAAAACAGAGGGTTACTGAGTGAGTATAAGGCATGACTACCTGAAAGGGTGGTCCAAAAGCAGAACCTTGACCACCAACAAAGGAGACAGGAATTTGGAGAGGTGTTGATGACGCTGGTAAAGTATTGATGTTTGCTGCAGGTGTCATAAGTCCTGAACACTCTGACTCAGCAGATTGACCGAAAAGAAACAGAGGAGGAATAGCAAGCAATGAATTCGGCATAGCTGTACTTGAAGGTAATGAGAATAGATTGGATGCAGTTGTATCTGATATGGAATTTAAATCAGAATTGGACGCTGATGGGCCACGAAAAGTGGTTGGACGAGAATTGATTAGAGTAGAATTAGATTGTGCAAACAATGATGCATTCGATCTAGACATTGTAACATCATTGAATCCATCAGGCTGATCTTGAAGAGCTCGTTGATGTGAAGGTTGTAAAGTATCGAGATCATTAGATTCAGAAACAAGACCCATTGCAGACCCGAAAAGAATGGCAGGTTGAGTGCTCAAAGGCGATGATGCTGAAATTGGTATAGACGATGTAACGTTGTGCATAGATGATGACCATAGACCTGAAGGTGCATGAGCTCCAAAATCCGGTGCATTTGAATGGTTCATATCATCGTTTTCTGTGTTGTTATACGGTAAGTTAGTCGGTTCATTGTCTTTACATTCGGGAAACAAATCACGCCATGAAGTTGTGTTCTACAACAAAAAGTAACCATGGAAATGAACCTTTATTCGATGTGTGTGAAGAATTCATTTCCTTTTTATTAACAAACCTGATTATGCAACCACTAAGTTATCGGAATAAGTTATCAGTTCTATAGCAAGTAAACAGTAGACAAGATTTCAGTTTCTGTAGATCGAATGCTAAAGTAATTGTTATAATAAATTTTGCCACATAATATTTCCAACATTCTACTTGGCACCGAATATAAGTATAATATTTGTGTATCAGAGAAAAATTGCTTAGAGATGTAACTCATTAACCAAGTACACATTTGTATATCCAGCCTTCAGTCATACTTGTAAGGGTTTGTAAAACTACAGGTCTGAACCAAAGTAGGTGAAGTGAGATTTGAACTTACAACCTAACTGAACGCCACCAACAGCCTAGATTAACGAAGGTGAATGTTAGGAGGAACAGTAGAATTGAAAATCAAACCTAAATAGATCCAGAAACAAAGCCGGTTGCATTAGTTCGGATTGCCAATAGAGGATTTTAGATCAGGCTGAAAGCAATTCGCTCTGTAGCTCATACACCTCGGCTTTCTTGAAGAATTTTCTGCTCAGTCAAGTTTTATATACTTGGGGTATAGATTAAACATATATTATGTATGCTACTCCTAGTCGTTTTTTACAATCAAAATGATTCGATACCGAAAAACACTTGCTGATTTATCTTTAAACATATGGACGAGGAACTAGTAATGCATAAGTAAACATTAAGACTGAACTAAATTGGCTATCACTACACAGGAGTCACAGATTAAAAGAAGGCACTCATTCACCTCTATCTGATATTTAAAAGTTCTTCAGACGTTCATCAACAATGATTAGTATTTCAATGAGAAGGAACAAACAATATATAACATTTTCCGGCAAATAGATTATATAGATTAAAAAAAATTTAAAATGGACTACTAACCGCTAAACCACAAGCTGTATCCCAATTCCATGGAAGCACTTCATTTTCGGCTCCATTATCAATTCCTAAATTTAAATGATTATGATTATCTTGTTCTTCCGGACAATCATTTCTAGTAGCAGCGCAATTTCCCGCAGTTGTATTTGCTGTAACTGAATCCTGTGAAGGATCAGGTAACCAAACGTGATGTGAATTGTTTTGACGAGGTTCCCAGATAGATAACAAATCAAATGGTGCCATATTAGAATTTTCTTGAGGGTGTTGGTTCTCTAACCTTCCAGGAACGGCTGCTCCGTTGGAAGCAGTAAGATGTCCAAGCTGTCCAGGTAAAGGAGTTATATCCCCAGTGACACCACTACCCACAAACGAATGGGCTTCTCCACTTGCTGCACTGTTGTAATTTACTCCATTGGCACTGAAATTACCTGAACCGACACTACAATGTGAGTCTCCAAAACAAGAAAGCAGTCCGGAACTGCAATTGCTTCCCCCAGCAGTATCACTTCCAGGTGTTGTACTTATCCGACGCTCTGCACCAACAGCCCAAATCTGGTTAGCTCGAGAAGAACCGATTATAGAGAGATTGTGAAAGTGGTGAGGTAAATCAGAACCACAATCATCAATGTTCTCCTTTGCTTGCATATCTAAGCATACACCCGTAGAGTTTGCACAATTAGCAGCTATATCAAGTGCATCATCATCGGTTAAACAGAGTGCATCAGGGAGCTGAGTAGTACCATCTTGGAAAACAGACAGATTGAGATCAGGCTAAAACACAAAATGGAAAAGTAGAGTTGAAAATAAAATAATATTCCACTGTCGAAACAGTAATTACTAATGGAGTTATTTTGTACATGGACTGGTACGTACAACTCAATTTCTAGGTGTGAAATTGTCCACTTCCCTATGGGCAAGCAGTATCTCAAAAGTTATTAAGTCCAATGAACCTGTGAAATAAGGATCGACTGGAATTAGTAGGAAGACACAAAGGCAAGTGACTACTATGACATCAGTAAGTCCATAAGAAGTGACCAGTGACTGTCTCTAATTTAGTAGTCAATAATGAACATCCAATAGACTACCAACATGAGATTACGTCCAGTTCCCAGATTCTACCTAAGATCTCAGTCAACCTAGCTGCTAAAACTGAACCACCATCCTTAAAAATATCAGGAGTCAATCTATGAGTCCTGCTGCTCTCTCTCGCTTTAGATTTCCTATAGCCTTTTCAACTTCATAAAGACTAGGGGTACTTACGTCGATTTGCCATTCAGGATGACTGGAGATCGTGGGTAACCTAAGAGTGGTTCCACGTGTTCTGCCCATCGGTCCAGTCTCCTGGATTGAGAATGGATAATAAGACCATTTTCTTGATGAGTCTGAATAGTTGCCTATAGCCGCTGCCTTTTCCATCTCTCTCGCTTTCACCACCCACCACTGTTCTTGATCATTACGTAGACTTTTTATCAGCCTACGTCTAAGCTGACTCCGCTCCTCATCGGCCTCAGAACCAGGCGGGATGAGTTTTTGAGCATCCATCAGTTCGGTAGATGCTACGCAGATCCAAGGCTTCATTCTAGCCTTATGGTTTACATTACTAGAAGATATCACTGCTGTTTCGATAGCCTATTTGATATCAGTGCAACATGCTTTCGGATGGGAATCGCTTACATGGTTGCCTAACTCTCTTTCTAGTTGTTCCTGGAATATATTCTTAGCCTCATTATCATTAGGTAGAACCCTAAGAGGTTTCCTTACGGTGTCTTTCCTACGTCCAGTAAGCCTCAAACAAATACGCGCTCGCACTAGGGTATGATCTGAATCTAAACATGTGCCCCAGAACGAGCGACAGTCCTCTATCGAACCCCTCCATCGGTGGCTGATGGCGATGTGATCTAGTTGCGTCCAACGTTGAGACGACTTCGGGGGTCGCCAGGTCAACAGATGCTTTCCCTTATGCCTAAAGTTAGTGTTTGCTAGAAATAGTTGGTTATCTGAGCATACTGGCAACAGGCGGTCGCCATTGTCTGTTCTCTGAGCCGCGACACCATAACATGCGCCTAGGTCTTTCATTTTCACTCAGTCTACCTACTTGAGCATTGAAGTCGCCAGCCATTATTATTACATCAGAGCGCCTAACTTTTTGGAGGAGGTCCGAAAGCTTTCTGTAAAACTCATCTTTAACCTCGTCTGAACCGCAGTCAGTGGGGGCATAGGCAGATACGATGAAGAGGCAACGGCGATTGTCCCTATCTTTCCGAGTCCTTACTGTCCCGTTTAGTCGGACAGCGCACAAGCGACTATCTGCTGGGATCCAGTCTAGGAGAGATTGTTCAGCTCTACGACTCAATGCTAGGCCTACGCCAGCAAGACCCCAGAAAGCAGCATCAGAGCTACGGGATAAATCGAGCTGCCTCTTTATTTTGACAAGGTGAAATCAGATTAACAATTTTACTGGGATCCTGTATGCGCGTTTCCGAGACGCAGCATACATCGATGGCACGAGATTCTAAAGTCCTAGCTAATGATGCCTGTTGCCCTATTTGACACAATGTCCGTACATTAAATGATCCAACATGTAGACTAGAACGAGGTTTCAAGAGACCAGGAATGACGTTTTGTGAACTCGCATCGTTTGCATTAGCGGTGCAGTCAGATAAGGGAATGTGAGTAAAGTTAGTTGTGGAGAGAAGAGAGGTATGTGTGGGTGTAGGAAGGATTTGATTACGATCGATTTGGTCTCGTGTGCTGGTACGGGTATGAGGGCGGTTGTCACTTTCCGTCTGCCCACACCGTGGAAGGTTGTTTCTTGAGGAACCTGAAAAGGAAGGTAGATTAGTGTTGGTCTTAGAGACCTGGGTGCGTGACCACAGAGCCCAAGGGACAACTGCTTGAGGCCGGTCACGCACGGCCTTTTTATGAAGGGTTTTTGAGTACTAGCTCCGCTCTTGAAAGCCCTAAGTGGGCACCCTTACCGACGGAGACGGAAATCCATGAGGTAAGGTGAGGTGTGACATTTTTAGGGTCGACCTTTTCTAACCCTTCCTTACTTGTGAGAAGGCAGCATCGCTGCAGATACTGGTTGTCCGAGGGAAACACCTCACTGCTGTCACACCCCTCTGCAGTCAGCAGTACGACTTCGCCCTCAGACCTTGGGTAGCTGCTTTTAGTCTGATCGTTCTCTAATCGACCTACCTGGCATGGTAGAACCTTCAGGAACATATGTTCTAGCCAATATAGCTCAGTTGGGTCATCACGATAGGCATCTCGACCACCACATCAAGGTAGCAGCTACGGTCGGGTTTATGTCTAAGTAGAACACTTAATTCAAATAGAGGTATAGCTTAATTTTCGGAAAACTGACATATGGTAACTGAGTTTCTGCAGTTACTCGTCAATTATAGACTGTTAAGTACGATAACAAAGTGAAAATTAAAGCAGTAATGTTGGTAATACTGACAGATGTCCAGGGTTAGGAAAGATCAACCCTAAAAATATCACACCGCATCAAACCTTACGGATTGCCGTCTCCGGCATCTGTCTGTCTGTCTCCGGTGGAAATGACTTTAAAACAAGAGCGAGGCCTACACTTGGAAAACTTCTTATTAAGAGCCCGTGCGTGACCGGCCTCAAACAGTTGTCTCTTGCGTTCTGCGGTCACACAACCAGGTCTTTAAGACCAACTCTAATCCACCTTCCTTTTCAGGTTCTTCAAGAAACACCCTTCCATGATGTGGGCAGTCGGGAAGTGACATTCACACCCTTACCCATAAAAGCCCACTAGACCAAATCGGTCACAATCAAATCCTTTCTACACCTTATAACTCTCTTATCTCCACGACCAACCCTTCTTTCGTTCATTTATCACCTCAAGCCACTGATGCAAATGTTTCGAGCTTACGAAACGTTATTCTTGGTCTCCTGAAGCCGCGTTATAAACTACATATTAGAGCTTTTAATATTTGAACCTTGAGGCAAATAGGGCGAAAGGCTTCCTTAGCAAGGGCTCTGGAATTCTGTGACATCGATGTGTGTTGCGTCTCTGTAACGCGCATACAGGATTCGAGTAAAATCACTAACTTGATTTTACGTTGTCCATATAGAGAATCAACACAGTTTACACTTCGTATATTTGGAAGCCCTTCTACTGCTTTACGTGGCCTCGCTGGTGTAGGTATTGTATTAAGTCTTAGGGAAGAACTGGCTTACATAGACTGGATCCTAGTAAACAGTCGCTAGTGCACTTTCCGACCAAACGGGACAGTAAGGACTCGTAAAGATAGGGACACTCGCCGTTGCCTCTTTGTTGTCTGTCTATGCTACCACTGACTGCAGTCTAGATGAAATAAAAGATGAGTTCTAAAGAAACTTTTCTAACCTTCTTCAGACAGTTAAGCGCTCCGATGTGGTAATAATGACTAGTGACTTTAATGCTTAAGTAGGTAGACTAGATGCAAAGAAAAGACAACTAGGTGAATATTATGGTGTCGTTGCTCAGATCAGATAATGGCGACCGCCTGCTGCAGGTATGCTTACCATTATCCAGAAGATTCAAGCATTCATTAACAGTTGTCTATACGAAATACTTCAGATCTGTTGGCCAGACACCATCTGCAACAATCTACAGTTGGAAAGAACAAACCAGATTCCAGAGCAGGAAGAAATCAGGAAGAAGTGGTGGAAGTGGATAGGATACACTACGGAAAGGACCCAACTGTGTCACAAGACAAGCCCTCACCTGGAACCCTCAAGATAAAAGGGAAAGAGGAAGGCCAAGAAACACACTACACCAAGAAAGGTTTGAGAATGAACAAAATTGGAAAGGGAAACCCAGGAAAGTAGGTTGGGTTGGTTGGCAGCCTATGCTCCACTGAGGAGGGGCTCGATAGAAGACTGTCGCTCGTTCTGAGGTACATGTCTAGATTCAGATCATGCAATTGAAGGCGACAAAGAAAGCAGAAGAACCTGATAGGTTGACCCCTGAGATTTCCAAGGATGGTAGTCCAGTTTTAGCAGTTAGATCGACTGAGATCCCTGATTGTCCCAAATAATAAGAAACGACAAAAGTCCTTTTGTGACATTCACAGAGGAATCAGATTACCTAATATAGTGTTTAAATTGTTAGCCTCGATAATACGTAGACGGCTAACTAAAGCTCGTGAACAGCAAACTCGAGAAAACCTGGCTTGTTTCAAACCTGAACATGGCTGCATAGACCGGATATTCACACTTCGACAAGTCTTATAACACAGGCACACATTTAGGCGTCCAACAATAGTTGTCTTCCTTGACCTTAAAGCGGCGTTTGACTCTCGATCGTGAAGTACTATGGTAGTGTCTGTCACTGAAAGGTGTACCAGAGAAGTACGTTAACTTTATACAGGCTCTCTACTCGAACATCACTGGTCGACTGAAAGCTTATGGCGAACTGTCATAAGAATCGATTACTTCAAGTGATGCTTCTCAGGGCTGTCCAATTTTTCTATTTTTGTTGAACTTTATCATTGACGTGCTTTTAGAGATGACACGCGTCATCTGACTTTTCAGGAGTTGAACGTTTACCAGGAGATTCATTTCTGGACGTAGAATATGCCACAATTGAAGATGCTGACAAAACGCAGTCTTCTGACTATCATTAGCAACAATGCAAGCATGTTTGGGATGTGGTTCTTCTCGTCGAAATGCAAAATGAAAATAGGAATGTTAAGCTTACTAAGAAGCAAATAAAAACAGACAATTACCTAGATGGATTGAGATAAATAGGCTTGAAAAGCCCTTGTTTAAACAAAATTCAAGAAATAATGGACTAAGAGGATACTCCTGGCATACTCGTGGAATCGACAGTAAAACTGCCTTCCCCATTTTTGTTAATGATCAACCACTATACAGCTTAGTGATTAAATCTCCTGATGGAGCTTATTACATAAAAACGGTGGTTTAATAAAACGAAAAATCATCAAAAATCAAGGTAACATTTTGAAGGATACTCCAAAACCAACCTAACAAAACATTTAGGAGAAAACGATAGTAAATCATCCCAAAAATTTTATTTATATCAAAAAAACTAGCCAAAACCAGTAACCTACGAGTGTAGCAGGCCAGTGAGGAGGATAACCAACGTTTAGCGATTTGCAGTTAATGGAACTGGAACCTGGAGTGGTTATTGTCAAATCACCCAGTGAAGTCGTGGAACCGCCAACTGAAAATCCCGGAGGTGGTATTGAAGTTGATAACAATCCTGTCAAGTCTGGAGTAACACGAGCCACCTCTTCAGCTGACATGTGTTAACTTGATACCCTCACCAATCCTAAGTATGTACACAGTTAGTAGAGCCAAAGCTCAAACGGGGCTAGAAAGATAAAAAAAAACCTACTGAAGGTGAAGATGAATGAATGACAAAATTAGAAAGATCAAGTCTTGATTAGAACGATAAAAATGGAAATAAGGGAGAGATCAAGATTGTGGAAAATGTTATTCTGATGCACCCTAGCTACATAGTAATCGTTAGTAGAAACTCTCCATATCACTGGGCGAATGTTTTATTAGAAGTTTGGTGAACACCCATAATTGTACTGGGAAATGTCATAAAACCATATCCCTAAGCAGTAAGTTTCATGAGTTGCGTTTGGATGGTATTTGTTTATTTTTAGTTGAAAATTGACGTATCGAGATACAAGTTTATGAACAAAGAGCTAAAGCTCTGAGTTGGAGATACTATCAGGCTACCCAAATCTAAACATCATTAGTAGAATGAACGGACAGAAAACAAAGGCACTGAGAAAGTATGGTAATGAACCTTGAACGATAGTGATCCGGACCTAAGACACATCTCTACCTACTCATTACTTATATCGGAAATGCTGAACGGAAAATTAAAAGACTGGAGAAATGCTATTGATGACCCGGTGAAAACATAGTGCCAGTTCACGATGTAGTTAACAGTTGAATTAGGTCGTGTAGGGAAGTGTAGACATAATTGAGGGTGAAGGCTTTGAATAGCAAGGCCATGAATTGGTTGTAGTGGAGCAGGTAAATATCTCTCTTATTCTCCATACATTTGATGAGCTAGTTTTATTCCCACGCCTAAACTATACCATGTGATTAGTTTGCCATTGTTTCTGATGTGATGATTCTCACTTTTCCTCACACTCCCCAATGTTCTCATAATGTGTCAATTTGGTTTTGCACCAGATCCTCGATATATAAGACAAACTATCAAAGACGGAGGGTTGTGACTTTAGAGTTGAATGTTTTATTTCAGTTGACTTCCGAAACATAATCTCACCAGGACCGACCTGTATTTGTATGCTGATCCCTTAAATTATACAAAATTAAGACATGATCGCAACGTGAATTCTAAAGCATTCGTCGCCAAAATGTTAATGCCAGGAAGGGTAACAACGTCAAACAATTAAACAATATACGCCTGTGGTTAGCATGCTGAGGTCTCACTAGTTTTATCTAGGAACATTGACAAAGAAAATCTGAGACAGAAATGAATTGAAGTTGCGATGTACGAAGTTCTACATTGCTGATAATGATTAGGCATCAACAAGTTATGTCAGTTTGTGATGAAACCAATCAAAAGAACGACTAAGGACTCCGAGCAGTATTAACAACAGTAGGAAATGGATGAAACTGGAGAATGGGAGTATTGGGTGATATTGATACACCAAGCTTAGAGAAGGGTAAACATAACTAAAGAAACAAATTTGGAAACCTGTCATTTGTTGTAACGCTAAAGATTTTGACTACAAAGTCCAACATGATTTATTCCAACCAACAATACCCCTAAGGTTTGATAATGCAACCTTATTTTAGCAAAACATGAGCTTCTATTCAGCTAATATGCTAATGTTTTTCCAGCTTATCGGAAATGGTTGGTGGACCTCAGCAATGTTTACGTTATGTCGCCACAGAAGGAAAATAGTAAGTCAAAGATAAGAATGACTGGACAAGGCTGAGTTATTTCAAGTTTAGAGGTTAACTTTATTCCAGTTGTGACAGCATAATTGGAGAGAATGTCAAATAGCCACATTCAAGTCATTTTTGGCAGTAGCATTTTACAAACAGCATAAGCATGAGACGACATATGACAGCACACTTAAAAAATGGTTTCCATTTTTTTCAAAGCACTTTGAAGGCTGAGTTAAACTCACTCATGTGTACTTAAAACTTCCCAAAAATGGATGGAATCCAACCGCTCATCAGTTTGAAGCTATCACTTTTGGGATCTAAACAGAATAAGCAACAGCTTTTATGGTTAGAGCTGACTCAAAAGTGGTTGACTAAGATTTTGCTGAGGACACTGAGAAAAGCCCGAACGTGCGACTTAGACGCATCCACAACTCACTGTGTAGCGTCTTATCTATGAACTACCTTTCAATTGGCCGCTCAGCTATCGTGGTTTGGACAAAAGCAAGTGATTTTCCAGTCCCATATCAAAGATAACAGGTAATGAAAGACGTGAGGCGTTGCTCTCACGAGAAATCGGTATTTGTTTCAGCTGGGGACTAAGTCAGATCTATCACTACTCTTAACATGAAATCTAGAAATATCTTGTAATCACAGTAACTCTGGACAATGAGTGTCAGGTTCCATGTCGCGCATGGCTAACTAGCTGGATCATAGCAAGTTAAGGTCAGTCCAGGAGACAGTCCGGAAAACAAATAGAACTCGGATGTTTCTAAGGATGTGTTAACTAGACAGTCATTCCTTATGTCTGATTATACTTTCGGTGTTGTAATTCCGTGATACTTTATTCCTTCCTTATGGACCATGAACTTATGGCAATGTCTAATTTGGAGCATTGAACAAGTGCATAACGTCACTTAGGGCTCTTTCTACCGAGGAGAGCAGGAGTTTATGAAGAACTTGGTTAGGGTTAAACAACCATTATTCTCCAAATTTCTTATCCTAACTACTTTCAAGTCCATTTGAAAGGAACAAAGTTTACATACACTCAGTTTGGTTACTTTCATGATGCAGTTAGATTATGAGCTAACATCGCTTTGCTAAACGATGTAAACAAGGAAGGGTTACTAATTCTGAAGGAATCTTTTAGGCAATGGTAGAATGAATGGTAAATAACCTAGAGTACACATGTACAAGTAAATGATTCACTCCCAACAAATCACTAACGAAACTAGCTAACTATACTAGTTCAAATGATCCTATTGTGAACAAAGATGTAGGGTTGTGCATTAGAATAAAGATGTCTGACCTAACAATTACAAAGACTTAGTCATTAGCAAGAAATGACTACTTTATGAAGTCAGAACCTGGCTGTTTTCTTCACGAATGGCAGCCACAATGTAGACATCATCCCGTATTCATATTATGCACTGAATATTCATTTAAAGGTGGCTGTTAGTAAACAATGACTGACAAAAGGCTTAAGACGTACGAAGTAGATCATGAGTCTACCCAGGAGTTTAGATATTAGGATCAAGAATACATCTCTAGCACGATAAATATAAACCTAACATAGTAACAGGTACATGAAGATTAACAACAAGAAAACCAAACCTTCGAAACTTGTTAGCTGGAGCTAAGTACGAAAAATCCTGCTACTGGTTATAGCGATTCAATGTAATCATATTCGTTTTTGTAAATATTTATAAATATATATCCATCTAAGATAATTCCATTGAAGCTCCAATCGAATTCGGGTAGGGTAGCCAATGTAAGCACTTATTAGATCAATTCTACAAGTGCGAACTTTTATATCGTCTTATATGTACAGACTTAATGAGAATGAAGTTCATGCAACTGACTAGCCCCCACAACTCACTAATATGTACAGTATATACAACCAACCCAACGCCCGTATATTCCGCAAACTAGCCACAAAATGAGAGAACCTTGAAACATTTAAACAAAAGAATCTAGTACAAAAATATCACTTAGGAAATTAGTCTACGGACTCTTATATTTTTTCAGTGTAAGAAATGAATATAAGGAACTGATATTTACTTTGATCAGTTTGTTTCACATCATCATTGGGAGAATGTGAGCATTCCAATTGAAAAAATTGTACATACCTTTGACTTTTCCCACACGTTTATTACTATTGGCTTTAAGATTTGATATTCTTGGTTCTCATGAACTCAGATATCTTCCTATGAAATAGGAAGATATCTGAGTTCATGAGAACCAAGAATATCAAATCTTAAAGCCATAGTAATAAAAGTGTGGGAAAGTCAAAGGTATGTACAATTTTTTCAATTGGATGCTCACATTCTCCCAATGATGATGTGAAACAAACTGATCAAGTAAATATCAGTGCCTTATATTCATTTCTTACACTGAAAAAATATAAGAGTCCGTAGACTAATTTCTTAAGTGATATTTTTGTACTAGATCTTTTGTTTAAATGTTTCAAGGTTCTCTCATTTTGTGGCTAGTTGCGGAATATACGGGCGTTGGGTTGGTTGTATATACTGTACATATTAGTGAGTTGTGGGGGCTAGTCAGTTGCATGAACTTCATTCTCATTAAGTCTGTACATATAAGACGATATAAAAGTTCGCACTTGTAGAATTGATCTAATAAGTGCTTACATTGGCTACCCTACCCGAATTCGATTGGAGCTTCAATGGAATTATCTTAGATGGATATATATTTATAAATATTTACAAAAACGAATATGATTACATTGAATCGCTATAACCAGTAGCAGGATTTTTCGTACTTAGCTCCAGCTAACAAGTTTCGAAGGTTTGGTTTTCTTGTTGTTAATCTTCATGTACCTGTTACTATGTTAGGTTTATATTTATCGTGCTAGAGATGTATTCTTGATCCTAATATCTAAACTCCTGGGTAGACTCATGATCTACTTCGTACGTCTTAAGCCTTTTGTCAGTCATTTGTTTACTAACAGCCACCTTTAAATGAATATTCAGTGCATAATATGAATACGGGATGATGTCTACATTGTGGCTGCCATTCGTGAAGAAAACAGCCAGGTTCTGACTTCATAAAGTAGTCATTTCTTGCTAATGACTAAGTCTTTGTAATTGTTAGGTCAGACATCTTTATTCTAATGCACAACCCTACATCTTTGTTCACATAGGATCATTTGAACTAGTATAGTTAGCTAGTTTCGTTAGTGATTTGTTGGGAGTGAATCATTTACTTGTACATGTGTACTCTAGGTTATTTACCATTCATTCTACCATTGCCTAAAAGATTCCTTCAGAATTAGTAACCCTTCCTTGTTTACATCGTTTAGCAAAGCGATGTTAGCTCATAATCTAACTGCATCATGAAAGTAACCAAACTGAGTGTATGTAAACTTTGTTCCTTTCAAATGGACTTGAAAGTAGTTAGGATAAGAAATTTGGAGAATAATGGTTGTTTAACCCTAACCAAGTTCTTCATAAACTCCTGCTCTCTCGGTAGAAAGAGCCCTAAGTGACGTTATGCACTTGTTCAATGCTCCAAATTAGACATTGCCATAAGTTCATGGTCCATAAGGAAGGAATAAAGTATCACGGAATTACAACACCGAAAGTATAATCAGACATAAGGAATGACTGTCTAGTTAACACATCCTTAGAAACATCCGAGTTCTATTTGTTTTCCGGACTGTCTCCTGGACTGACCTTAACTTGCTATGATCCAGCTAGTTAGCCATGCGCGACATGGAACCTGACACTCATTGTCCAGAGTTACTGTGATTACAAGATATTTCTAGATTTCATGTTAAGAGTAGTAATAGATCTGACTTAGTCCCCAGCTGAAACAAATACCGATTTCTCGTGAGAGCAACGCCTCACGTCTTTCATTACCTGTTATCTTTGATATGGGACTGGAAAATCACTTGCTTTTGTCCAAACCACGATAGTTGAGCGGCTAATTGAAAGGTAGTTCATAGATAAGACGCTACACAGTGAGTTGTGGATGCGTCTAAGTCGCACGTTTGGGCTTTTCTCAGTGTCTTCAGCAAAATCTTAGTCAACCACTTTTGAGTCAGCTCTAACTACAAAAGCTGTTGCTTATTCTGTTTAGATCCCAAAAGTGATAGCTTCAAACTGATAAGCAGTTGGATTCCATCCATTTTTGGGAAGTTTTAAGTACACATGAGTGAGTTTAACTCAGCCTTCAAAGTGCTTTGAAAAAAATGGAAACCATTTTTTAAGTGTGCTGTCATATGTCGTCTCATGCTTATGCTGTTTGTAAAATGCTACTTCCAAAAATGACTTGAATGTGGCTATTTGACATTCTCTCCAATTATGCTGTCACAACTGGAATAAAGTTAACCTCTAAACTTGAAATAACAGCCTTGTCCAGTCATTCTTATCTTTGACTGACTATTTTCCTTCTGTGGCGACATGACGTAAACATTGCTGAGGTCCACCAACCATTTCCGCTTAAGCTGAAAAAACATTAGCATATTAAGCTGAATAGAAGCTCATGTTTTGCTAAAATAAGGTTGCATTATCAAACCTTAGGGGTATTGTTGGTTGGAATAAATCATGTTGGACTTCGTAGTCAAAATCTTTAGCGTTACAACAAAAAGACAGGTTTCCATATGTTTCTTTAATTATGTTTACCCTTCTCTAAGCTTGGTGTATCAATATCACCCAATACTCCCATTCTCCAGTTTCATCCATTTCCTCCTGTTGTTAATACTGCTCGGAGTCCTTAGTCGTTCTTTTGATTGGTTTCATCACAAACTGACATAACTTGTTGATGCCTAATCATTATCAGCAACGTAGAACTTCGTACGTACGTACATCGCAACTTCAATTCATTTCTGTCCCAGATTTTCTCTGTCAATATGCCTAGAAAAAACTAGTGAGACCTCAGCATGCTAACCACAGGCGTATATTGTTTAACTGTTTGACTGTTGTTACCCTTCCTGGCATTAACATTTTGGCGACTGAATACTTTAGAATTCACGTTGTGATCATGTCTTAAGTTTGTATAATTTAGGGAATCAGCATTCAAATACAGGTCGGTCCTGGTGAGATTATGTTTCGGAAGTCAACTGAAATAAAACATTCAACTCTAAAGTCACAACCCTCCGTCTTTGATAGTTTGTCTTATATATCGAGGATCTGGTGCAAAACCAAATTGACACATATGAGAACATTGGGGAGTGTAAGGAAAAGTGAGAATCATCACATCAGAAACAATGGCAAACTAATCACATGGTATAGTTTAGGCGTGGGAATAAAACTAGCTCATCGAATGTATGGAGAATAAGAGAGAGATTTACCTGCTCCACTACAACCAATTCATGGCCTTGCTATTCAAAGCCTTCACCTTCAATTATGTCTACACTTCCCTACACGACCTAATTCAACTGTTAATTACATCGTGAACTGGCACTATGTTTTCACCGGGTCATCAATAGCATTTCTCCAGTCGTGTAATTTTCCGTTCAGCATTTCCGATATAAGTAATGAGTAGGTAGAGATGTGTCTTAGGTCCGGACCACTATCGTTCAAGGTTCATTACCATACTTTCTCAGTGTCCTTTGTTTTCTGTCCGTTCATTCTACTAATGATGTTTAGATTTGGGTAGCCTGATAGTATCTCCAACTCAGAGCTTTAGCTCTTTGTTCATAAACTTGTATCTCGATACGTCAATTTTCAACTAAAAATAAACAAATACCATCCAAACGCAACTCATGAAACTTACTGCTTAGGGATATGGTTTTGTGACATTTCCCAGTACAATTATGGGTGTTCACCAAACTTCTAATAAAACATTCGCCCAGTGAATATGGAGAGTTTCTACTAACGATTACTATGTAGCTAGGGTGCATCAGAATAATCATTTTCCACAATCTTGATCTCTCCCTTATTTCCATTTTTATCGTTCTAAATCAAGAGTTAATCTTTCTAATTTTGTCATTCATTCACCTTCACCTTCAGTAGGTTTTTTTTATCTTTCTAGCCCCGTTTGAGCTTTGGCTCTACTAACTGTGTACATACTTAGGATTGGTGAGGGTATCAAGTTAACACATGTCAGCTGAAGAGGTGGCTCGTGTTACTCCAGACTTGACAGGATTGTTATCAACTTCAATACCACCTCCGGGATTTTCAGTTGGCGGTTCCACTACTTCACTGGGTGATTTGACAATAACCACTCCAGGTTCCAGTTCCATTAACTGCAAATCGCTAAACGTTGGTTATCCTCCTCACTGGCCTGCTACACTCGTAGGTTACTGGTTTTGGCTAGTTTTTTTTTATATAAATAAAATTTTTGGAATGATTTACTATCATTTTCTCCGAAATGTTTTAGTTAGATTGGTTTGGGAGTATCTTTCATAATGTTACCTCGATTTTTGATGATTTTTCGTTTTATCAAACCACCGTTTTTATGCAAAAAGCTCCATCAGGAGATTTTAATCACTAAGCTGTATGGTGGTTGATCATTAACAAAAATGGAGAAGGCAGTTTTACTGTTCGATTCCACCAGTATGCCAGGAGTATCCTCATAGTCCATTATTTCTTGAATTGTGTTTAAACAAGTGCTTTTCAAGCCTATTTATCTCAATCCATCTAGGAAATTGTCTGTTTTTATTTGCTTCTTAGTAAGCTTGAACCAGTTCCTCTTACTTTTTCCTGTTTTTCATTTTGCATTTCGACGAGGAGAACCACATCCTAAACATGCTTGCATTGTTGCTTAAGCTAGTCAGAAGACTGCATTTTGTCAGCATCTTCAATTATCTCATCGGCATATTCTACGTCCAGAAAGGAATCTCCTGAAAAGTCAGATGACGCGTGTCATCTCTAAAAGCACGCCAATGATAAAGTCTAACAAAAATAGAAAAATTGGACAGCCCTGAGAAGCATCACTTGAAAGTAACCAGTTCTTATGACAG